TGTCCATTTCGGCCCTGCAAGACTGAGTTGGTATGTTGACTTGCCACCACTACCACGTCAAAGGGAGCCGCGAACCACGAACAGCCAGCAGCATGGAAACTCGGACTGTCCCTGAAATCTGCCACCAACGGTCCAAAAAAAACAGAGAGGGGGAGCTTTGTAACGTAGGTCTTTAAAGATCTCTTTCACTTTGCTGCATGGTTTGGCGTCTTTGAGGCCGCCATTTGCGGTCTGGCATGGTCTTTGAGCGGAAGCCCGTGGACTACGAGGACGTGCCATGCCACCTTTGCGGTGGAGAGATCCCACCCAGCGAGCGGGGCAAGGCGTGGGGACGTTTGGTTTGTGGATTCCAAAGGAACGGGGGACGTTTGGGCAGACGTTAGATTGGAGCAGCTTTTGTTCATACTTTGGGGGGATGGCTAGGGCTCAAACTCACAAGATGTGAACGTTTGGAGTGAGTGTATCGCATGGATACATCTAATTTGTACAAGATTACAAGATAGATAGATGACATACAAGAGAGACTCAGCAACCGTTTGTCTTTGCTGTTGAAAAACGCCATGGCTTAGACGAACAAGGTGGGCCGGTGGCACTTTTGGAAGGGCGCCTTCCTGGTGATTCCTTGCGCAAACCTGGAGTGTCGTGAGAGGCAAAAGGAAAGGCCGGGAGTCCAGTGGGTTCCTGTGGGTGGGAGAGGCAACAATGGAGCGAATTCAAAGGCTGCTTCTAGGCCAATTTTGTTCAGCTCGCCGGCTTCCAGAAGGATAGGTGAAAGAGTGAGGTGTTCAAACATGTCAAGACATGTTGTTCTTCTCAGAACAAATAAAATACCTAGAGCCTAGAGATGAGTGCTTTTGACTGTCCAACGCAGCGTCCATTTCATGGTTTGACGTCCCGACAGCCTTTGTTTGGCACCTGAGAGGCAAGAATGGCTGGATGCCACGCCGCCACAGACCTTGTACCACCAGACGGACCCCGAATCCGCCAAGAAGATTTTGGGTAGCGGGAAGATGATCCGTGGCAGGTGTGGCGTGGTTGGAGGCAGGGCTGTTTTCTTTCATTCACCAAGAACAGGACATGATACTACTGAGTATAGCAAATCGGTTCATAATTCACTTGGCTTTCCCTTTGTTTTGGATACTCACTTGTGAATTTGACTAGTTAAACATAGTTAAACCCAATCTTCCAAAGTCTCCCCGGACCCGTTGGCGAACCCATGCTCGCTCGCTCGCAGGTGGCATCTACTTCGCCGAGACGCCACGGGAGACCGAATGGAAGGCCGAGTCGAAGGGCATCGTCCTCGAGTGCCAGGCGCGATCCGCGATCCGCGGCCCATCCGCGTGGCGCGGTCTTCGGGTTTTGCGCGTGGGAGATGAGATGATGAGGTCTGTGATTCGGAAAGGGTGATGTCAATCCAAGAAAACTGTTGTTTTCCAAGGAAGAATGTTGTTTGCTTGGAAGGCAGCCATGGGGCACCGGGCGTCGGTTCCTGGACCCATGGAATTGCTTCGGTTTCGCGCTCCAAAACCGCTTCGGCGCGGTCGTTTGGCTGTCGGGTCGCTGGAGGTGAAGACCGGGAGACACCTGCTGTTGGATCGAAGCAAGGAAGATCCGTCCTTGACCTTTGCGGATTTGCTGCGAAGGGGCCATGACTCCGTCTTGATGGACCGGGGCGTTTGTATGAAAGGACCCCATAAAGGGAAGAAGGCGGGGAATGAATGGATCGTGTACAGCTGGGATCAAGTGCAGGTTCTCAAAGAGGTCCCACGAGACCCTGTGCCCTAGGCCCTAGATCGCCTCTTTAATGGAAGTAGGTTAGAAATGGAATGCTGCAGGATGGGCTGTGAAGCCGGAAGTTCCGAAGAACCAAAAGAAGATGAAAGGAAATGTCTTTGGGAAACGTTCGGACAACACATTCCTGCAGGTGACCGTTGAAAAGTTGGCGCGAAGGCGCCAGGCCTGAGTTTTCCGAGCTTCTCGTAGCCAAGCTACAGAAAAGACTCAGATGAGCAGGTTTGTGCGGCATCGAAAAGGGGCGTCAGAGATTTGCAAAGTGGACATCGTGGAGCAGGTTGGTAGTACAGTAGCGCAGAGACTTGAGGGGAAGATTTGGTGGTGACCGTTCATCAGCTTTCCCCTGATAAAGTGTAGGCTTCATGATCATGGACGCGTGGTCTTGGCTTTGTGCCACCTGGGAGAACGTTTTAACGTGGGCCATACTAAGCCTTTGTTTTCTTTGCACCCATGTGGTTGAACTTTGGATGGTGCAGCGGTAGCTTAAGTTTGCCTCCTTCAGGAGATGTTTCATCACGGCAGCTGAAGGAAATGTGAAGATGAAACGGAAGTAGAAGCCTCAGTTGCAGCAAGTTAGCAAAGACTCAAGCATGAGTCACTGTTGTTCAAGAGTTTCCTTTGTTTATGTTTAATTCGACTTCCTTCCAGTTGTGTTTGTTAGTTGCTTCAGTTGCTGATCACCCTCTTGAAGACAAAGATGCTTTTGTGCACCGTTTATATAGTGAACAACTCAGACAGCTGCAAATGTTCTTGCTTTTGTTATAGACAATTACTTCTGATGGTTGCACCATGCCCTTGGTGATCTCCCAAGGCTTTCCATCCGTCTAGAAACAAAGACACAAATGTTAAGTAAAAGACTTCATAAACCGTCACGAACCGCCTCGGAAGAATGCTCCGGTCTCCAAAATGCCCCTGTGGTGTCCTTTCTGGCAGTCGGGATGCCATACGCGTGCCCCTTCTCAGGCTTCGCGGAACCCCTGAGCTGCCCGGCCGAACGGCTTGGGTGATCCTTCATGGCCGCGGCAGAAAAGGCTACAAACTGGTGCAACTGGTCCTGCACTGAAATAGAGCAACAAAATCTGTCAGTTTTCGGCCAATGCATGTGTAGTCCAGGCAGATCTACTCCTGAACGCATCCAGTCTGGTGCAGCTTCGTTGGTTCTGCCTCTCCCTTGAAAATCATTAGCGAATCTCTCTTCCTACTCAGATCTGCGGCGCCTTTTCAGATTTCCTCCTTCAGTCCTTTCATTCACCAGATGCCATTTCTTAGCCATTTCTTGTCCCAGTGACCCTCCATGTGAGTTGAAGACCAGAAGAAGTACAACTTGGTCATCGCTGTGGAGTTGAAACCAAGCCAACTATCTAGGAATCGACCATCTAAGAAGTCACAGAACCATGAGTGATCAAGAACCGCAGCAACAACAAGACTTTGATGCAGCAACGATGCAGCATCCACCCTCGTCGGTCGAAACTCCATGAGCTTTCGCTCTGATACGTGTTTTTCATCCGATACCCAATGTATCCATCTTGGACAGGCGGCCTTTCATGAGGCCTTTCATGCAGCATCCACCCTTCTGTCGCCATCGCCATGAGCGACCTTCGACTTCAAAGCTTCGTGGAGCGCTACGTGGCCACCCTGTTCGCTTCGTGTCAGCAGATCGCCACGATCTTCGAGACCGACGCCACCGCAGCAGCCGGCCGGAACACGACGCCAACGAACACGACGCCACGCCTGCCGTGCCTGGCGCGATCTGCGGCCGACAGCGAGGAGTTGGATCTTCCACTCTGCGACTCCAGCGTTGGCAGCGCTTCAGACAGATCACCTCAACAAGCTTCTCGACCTGTTCAACCTGTTCAGCCGGCTCAGCCTGCACCACTTCCAACACAAGATGACACAATCCACCACACAACGCACACACCTCTTCCCAGCACACCTCACCTCTGCGGCGCTTCGCCCTCTGCACCGTCCCGCCCTCGCCGCCGCTCCTTTGCCGCGCGC